TAAACTCTTGGATCAATTATAAACTTTGAGACTATTGGGGGGGAGGGGACGGGTATGGAAACTTTCACTTAAGTGTTGATTATGATTATATAAACTTTTATCTAGCCCTGTAGAAATCTGTTACCAATCAAGAGAGAGGTACTTTTTTGTATGTTCAATAACTGCTGTCACTAACAGTGTTAACATCTCTCTCAAATGATTCCACAGGTTTTTATTGGTCTAAGTTCTGATCTGTTCAGTATAGTAACTTGTTTTCAGATTCATTTTAAGTTGACATACCAATATTAGAATTAAAACTTACATTTGAAAGCTGTGGATCACCATGTTACTAGGTTATTTTCGACCCTTTCCACCTGCATTAAAACATGTCACATGATCAGTGCCCTACTCTCTGAAATTTGTGGTTATAATTAACAGTATGATATTAAATATAATTTGTTTTAATTTTATAATATCTTGTCCTGTTTATTTTCTGTTCTGAACTTTCCACTGTCGTGGTTCAGCAAATATGTTTATTTTGTTTTTTGTCTGCCAGATGGTTAGACAAGGAGGTGGTATAACCAGGTCAGTGTGATCTAGGGAAATGGCTGTATTTCAACATATGTATCTCAGAATAGTTTGTATGAAGCAATTTAACAAACCCACAACCAACTATTTGAAACTGAGAAGAATTTTTTAAACTCTGCAAAAATTAAACCATTGACCTGTTCTGTATTTACATAGCCTTGATTTTAGTGGTTTAATAATTTATCACGTTCTGTACCTTGTAAATCTGCATGACCTCATCCCAGTGTGCATTTTCAAAATACTGGATAATTTATAACCTTTTGTAATACCATCAATTATGTTAATATGCATAATGGGCAATGTCCTCATTGACTGCAAAGGACCGGCTGAGGATCTGGCCAGTTGTGTCTTTAGAGATGTCTGCTTGTGTGCATATATTTCCTTGGGGATGATCAAATTTTGTATAAATCACAGCGATCACATCAACCGAGTAATCCCAAGTACCAGCAATTTAAAATGGTCATGATATCTGGTGAGAGTGCAAGTTTGCTATTCTTTCCAGACATATAATTTGATTGTTCTTTAAGTGGAATCTTAGTTTTAAGGGCTTGATCCTGCACCTATTAAAATCAGTGGGAGTGTGTCATTGACTTCAATTGGCATAAGATCAGACCCTAAATGATCATCTTCTTTGCCAGTAATTTAGGAAGATGAAACTTTGTGTTGGTGTGAAATGTTGCTATTTTCAGTGGGATTTCTCTCTTTTTGGTACTTCTAGATGTTACATCCTTAAATCCCAGTACATCAATATGATGTAAATCCCATATTTGGTGTCTCTTGTGTGGTGCTTAGCAATAGATCCAGCTTGAAAGAGATAGGATTGCTACTACATCAGAAAAGTATACAGGTGCATATCAGATTAGAAGAAAATGGAATGTACTTCACACCTATAAAGTGTGGGTAATAGATATCCTGATGCAATATGGCAAACAATTTATCTCCTGCAGTTTTACTATAAGAATGAATTATTGTTGCAGTAGTCCATGCATGTTTATAAAAAGGTGGTGTGTTTTTGTGATGTTAAACCTGACATGATAACTTAAGGTACTGCACACTTTAAGCCATATTTCTAAAATATGAGACTTTGAAAGTATTCATGTGGACAGTCTTTGATTTCAACACTTGACCCATTTTGCTAGACTTCTCTTTCAAAAATTAGTTTTCAGTAAGTGATGCCTTTTATAGCATGCTTAAACCACCTTTACAGTGTAGCTTTCTGGATTTTGAGTTAGTCTTATTGTTTAAATTGAGTCAGAAACTCTTTAGTTCTGGTCCAGCCTCTAATGGTGACTTGATGTGTGGCCTTGAGCAATTTCCACATCTGTATAATATGGGAAGAAAATTTACCTACTTCCGATGGATATTGAAGATATTGTGAAGATTAATGAATAAATTAATGATTGCACAGTGCCTTGAAGATGTAAAACACTACTTAAGAGCACATTGTTTTTGTTCATGAAATTGTGCCTGCAGTTCACTTTTGGAGTCATTTGCCATTGCTTGTAATCTCTGAGCCTTTCGAAGTAGCCCAGCTATTGAAGAGCTGGCACACTTTAGCCCTTAGAGCTGATGTTCCAAGTGCAGTTATTTTTATAACATAGTTGGCTTCATTCACTCTTACACCCTTTATTCAATCTTATGGCCTTAGTTTTTACCAAATCAGAAGTCCTTTCTTGTCATCCCTTGAAGCAAAAGGTCTGGGCTTAGTTATAACCTCCAGTTCATCAAGAGAGTAAAACTACTGAGTCATCACTAACTCCTGGAAGTTCACCTGCGTTGAATCACCTAAGGGATTATTTCTCCCATTTCCTTTTCCACTGACAGAACTTTCATGAGATGTTGATATTCTCCAGACTCTGGAAAAAGGAAAGATGGTTTTTGTCCATGAAGAGTTGACGGGATCTGGTTTACTAGACCTGGCAACAACTACCATCAGTTCTGTCAACAGCCAGGAAACCTGACCAGCTTCTACTAGGTTCCTCAGCAAAGTATTCTGAGATCTCTGGTAGGTTCTGCATACTTGAAAGTGTCTAAATAAGGGAAGCTTCCAGGTAGACACTCCTTACAAGATTATTTGAAGGTTAGGTTATAGGAAGAAAAATGTTTACTCCTTAGCTATACTATCAGTGAAGATTTCCAATTACCATGTTGTGAGAGTGCAGTATGATCAAGATCTTTTGAATAAGCTCATCCCCATCATGGATCTCCTCCCTTACTTTCATAAGTAGCCCGTGAAATCTCAAATCCAGAAGACTAGGTATACGCTTTGGGCTGTGTTTGATACTTCACATGGAGCAGCATTCTCTGACATCGGAGAATGTAGTTTTAGCTTCAGAACTTGAGGCTGTCCTGGAAGGTTGAAGGGAAAGTGTTAGACTTATTTGAGGGATTTGCTTTCTTTGGCAGTGAAACTGGTGAAAAAAGATGAGACCAGGACAAAAGATCAACCCCAGAGATTTTTCCAGTCTTCTAGGGAATATTCATTGTTTTTTGATTCCAAAGACAGTATACTGAACCATGTCCACGTTCTCAGCTTGCTTTCCATCCTCTGGGTAAGCAGAGACGAGCTCAAATTGCTTAATAGTTTACAGGTTGATGCCCACAGAGAACCATTTCTTCAGCCCTTCTGGTGCCTGCAACTGCTTTATCCTTGAGTAAGCAGCAGTTTTGTTAAGTTCAAAAAAGTCTCACCATGGCGATTTTGTCTCACTTTCCAACATGGCAGTCTAGGACATCAGTCCAGTGTGTCCTGGATTATGTAATCTTGGCAAGTTACTCATCATTCCACTATACACAAAGCAAATTCTGCTAGTTCTGGCCTCACATAGCACTTGAGCACTGAAATAAATGTGTATTTGGATGTGTGTGCTTCAGACAGAATACGCCAAGTGGTTGCTTAGTATATGAATGAAAACCTTAAAGATGCCTAACCTTTTTTGGCTGCTGCTTCTTCCAGCTTTTTCTTTTCTTCCTCAATAATTTTCATCTTTTCTTCATATTCATCAGCCCGTGTTTTCCATTCCACCCTGTTGTTTTGAAGACCGTCCAACATTGGTGTAATTTCCTTGTGAAACCTTGAGAATTCCTAAATAAACAATATGAGTTAGTAAACTGTCCATTTATAATGAATGGTTGTTTTCAGGTTCTAGCATGAATACACAAATATAGTTGATGTACAGAAACTTCATTTGCTTTCACTTTCCAGTTTTAGCTGTTTGATTATGTGGCAGGCACAGTGAGAGAGATTTACGTTTGTTTTGTGTTATAAGCTCAGCACTTTGTTGGTGTACACCAGAAAAACCCACAAGCTAGGCAAAGGGAAAAGATGAAGTGTAGTTGTGGTACTTGCAGGTACCATTCCATTGGTGGTGGAGTATGAGGCATGTGGTGGGAGTTTATCAGAAGCACCAAACTGGGTCAGTAACATCAAAGGCCCGAATGATGTGCTGTAAAGTCTACCCTTTTCCCTAAGCCTCCCCCCATCCCAGTACACTCTCCTGGCGTGTCTTTGCCCATGCTCACTATAACACTTGTGATATCTGAAGACTGGACTTTTACCTGTTGTTGTTCAAAATATTACATTTCATTCTACTGCATGGCATTTTGGAAGAGCCTTAAAATCCAGATGGTGTAGAAACATAGATTACATTGCTGTTTAGAAGATGTGAACAACTCAAGTTCTTCCTATGCTAATCCAGCACAGGTGCATACTTTTCATTGATCCCCTTGTGTTATGCTCTTCATGTTAGATGGGGCTCTGTGAAGCTCCATGATTAAGCTCAAACTCAATCTTTTAGGGAACTGAGCAACTTCTGGGGATGCTGAGTGCCCTTGAATTCCTTGGGACTTCAGGGGGTTCCACATCTCCAGAAGATGCTAAGCACCTTTTAGGAGTGTGTGGTACTGTACAGGAGGAGGTGAAAAATCATGACCCTTTGAATGACCGCTATTTGAATGACTAGGAAGGCCCTGCTAACATCTAGAATGTTTTAATCCAAACTATTGTTTGTCACTCGTGTCATTAGAATCAATGCAAAGGAAGAATAAAAGTTTTATTCTTACCTTGTATACAAATGTACACACAAAATCAATGAAACCAACTTGAAGCTTAGGCAATTCATCTGCTTTGTTTCTGTCCATCATAGGCTAGAAAAGAATATCAATATTTTAATGTGAATTTGCTACATTTTGTTTCAATAATAAGACAACTGTTACTGACAAACATGTCTTCAAAAGCTATTATTTCATATTGAAGATAATGCTGTTTAACATGTCAAAATACTTACAATTGGCTGTTGCTCTAGCACAGTTCGCTCCAGATCACCTTGTTCCCAAAATTCATTCGCAACCATAAGGGCAACCTGAGAATGAGAATCTCCTGTGTTACTGATGTTGTATTAAGCAGTACAGTTGTAGAATGATGCTGGAATGTATTCAAGTCTTTCCAGAAAATGCTGAAGAACGTTTTTGTTTAGGATTAATTGAGAATTAATTAGGTTATTTCATTTGAAAAAAACACCAATTTTTCTTCAAGCTAGGAGTGCTGCTGATCCTTCAACTAGCAGAGTGATTCCTAATATATCCAGTAAGACTGATCTACCAGACAGAAGGAAAATGTATAATCCTGTTATCATAGCTATTAATTGAATTTTGCCAGTATGTTTTTTGCTGTAATGCTTATGCTTTTACTTGTGCATATTATGTATGTATCAGCTGAACAAAATTATGTAGGAACTGACAGGAAACATTTTTGCATCTTATTGAACTACTGAAACCTTGCTACTAGCTCCCCTCCTGCGCGTTTTCTTGCTACCAATGTTATCCATGAGATGTTTGGAAAGGTTCTCCAGGAGGAGAGAATTCTGGTAAATAAAAAACAGCAAATACCATCATTGTAGAACGTGTAGACACAAAACTACTCCACACTGTTCTTTCTGGGATCATTAACACACAGGATAGGTGAATTACAGAACAGGAATGCTGCAGTGTGAGGCTTTTGTTAGTAAACAGATGGTATCTGCCATTTTAATGGTATTTTGGGGCATGCTCACTGATTGGTACATAGTTGAAAATAGTATTTTCCATGGTGTTCCAAGACAATAGAGCAACATAATAAAATCTCCTAATTATAAAGTATACTGCTTGGAATGCTTTGCAACTTTGTGTCAGTGTTACATAATTAGAATAGCCATCTGCAGGCTAATCGATGTCTATGAGCCTGACATAGCTCTTTTGCTAGGCCTGCCTCTTACATAGCTGATTCAAGATGTCATGACCAGGAAACTCTATTTTTAGTATACTCAGATGCTAATTGGAAAATAAATAGGATTTCATTCTTTGTGTGAAGGATCTATCCTTTTGTTACTATGGATCTACATAGACTCTGTTCCATCCCAGTGGAGCCTTACAGAGAATCTAATTCTAGTTTTAGAATTGTTCAAGGAAATAACCCAAGAGATCAGCTCTTATTAAAGCCATCTTGTCTGTATAGATACCTATAATTCAAGCACTGACAGCATTTCTAAGTAGTGATGTGCAAGATGATCTCTTCAAAGTCATAAAAGCCCATATCGTTGAATCCATTTTAGAGTGGTTTAGTCAAACTAAAATAGTGCAAGGATCTACGTTTGTCTGTGTATTGGTGTCTAGTTTAAGATCATGCTATTGTAAAGGCCACACCCTAAAGCTGGCAGAAGAAAAGCAAGAATTTGATAAAATAAAAGTGAGTGAGAATCAGTTATCAAGGATCCTTTAAAGAAAGCTAGAATGGATACTACAGGCAGGAACAACTATATTGACTGATTCGCAAGTGGGAGGGTGGGGGCAATGGGGCGACGCCACAGGGGGCTCATGGCATGGAGTGCCTAGTGCCATAGATTGCCTTAATTCGTCCCTGCTTCCAGAAAATGGTGTCCAATTCTCAGGCACAATTTGTAGATGCAAGTGGTTACGCTTTGTTTTACACTTAAATATCTATAGACTTGGAATATAAAATGAATTTTCTGTATTGTCATTCACTGATGATGCAATGAGAGCGCAAATATAAATGTGTATGAAATCAAAATTTTTCTTTTTGAGATACTAACCTGACTTTGCACCTCCCACGGCTTGGTTATAGCCGACAAGTCACAACCAGTCATCATCATAGCCCTTTGAAGAAACAGAAATAGTATAAGTCTGATAGAGAAAAAACCTAGGGGACAGATTTTTAAACTTATTCAGGCACCTAAAGGTGCAGATAGGCGCCTAGTGAGATTTTTAAAAGCGCCTAGGAGACTAACTCCAAAGTGAAGCCAATGGGAGTTAGGTGCCTAATCACTTCTGAAAATCCCACAAGGCGCCTATCTGCAGCTTATGGCTCCTTAATACTTCTAAAGATCTGGCCCTAGATAATTTATTGAAAGAAGAGTAAGATACTAACTACTTACATGATAACTTCTTTTTTGGTTGGGTCGATAGATATATATTTAATTGCCTCCTCTTCTGTTTGCATTTTTTCAACTGCATCCACAATCTTTTGAAACATAGTCCTTTTCCTGTAAAAATATATGAATATTTCATATATAAAGTACTGGTATCCAAAAATGTCTGGGCTTTTGCATAATAGGTGCTTCTTATATTAATGCTTTTCTAAAATAGTATGTTTGGCTTGGTCCAGATCTAACTCCCATTGAAGTCCATCTATTTTAATGAGAGTTATATTTAGGTATTATATAGCTCATAGACTTGGCCATAGATTCCTGACATGTAATGCTTTTGTCAATATGTCAAGCTTTAATATGAAAAGCAACAGATTTCCTAAATCTGTATATTGCTACTTGTGATCATTTTGTTTCTTGAATCTTATCCAAATATTGTAAGGGTTTACATATTTTCATTCTTGATTGATTCTGCAAAGAAATCAACTGGAAAAGGTGAAAAGATCACTATTTATAAAGAGAGGTTAAGTAACATGCTATGTGATCCTTCTGGATGAGAGGTGCTGGAGTGTAGATAGTTATTGCTTAATAAATCTCTTCATTTGCATTTAGAGGTTTCACCTCACTGGACAGAGTTGTAACATACATAAAACATTCTAATATAATTAAAGATATTTATCATTCATTATAAAAAATGCATTGAATATGGATTACTTGTTGACTTCCCTGTTATCTGCCAGCTCTGAGTGTCAAAAATCTTAAAACAATTAAAGGAAAAGAGCTCCATGTGTCTTTTTTAGAAAAACTTCAGAGCTCTTAGGCCCTGATCCAGCATTCATTTTAATCAGTGGGAATATTTCCATTGACTTCAGTTGGTGGTGGATCAGGTTGATAAGATAGTAAATAGACAAATTATTTGATCTTCAGAATTCTTGACACATTTGACACTGGAGATTTTTTTTAATGTCTGGATTTCTTTTATCATACTTTAATTTCTACATCATAGGCCATCCCTGTTTAAGTTTATGGCAGCATTTTGACAATTTCAGTATGAGTGATTCTAGTACAGAATATCTACATAAAATATCACATACACACACTACAATTGGACTACACTATCAACATATTTAGTGCCTTTTGACATATAGTGTGCACTGTCAATGGAAAGTGTATTTGGATGGCCTAATAAATATATGCTCTATATCAGTATGAGACATAGAGGAAAATTCATGATTTCTGTTTTGAGATTTAAAGGCCTCAAGTGAATCAAAGAAAATATCTTATTCCTTATAACGAGCTTGAAGAATGAAGTTTTTCAGAATAACTTCATTTTAAAATATAGCTCTATAATCTGTTTATAACTAGGAAAAACTACAGTCATGATTTGTACAGGATTGAGAATTTTTTCAGTAGGAAGTTATACATAATTTAGTACTTACTTGAAATACAACGCCAAGTCAGTTGCTATTATTGCAACTTCAAATAAATGTAAAACGGTTTCAAACTGGCGCTTATTTAGGTTCTGGAAGATGTTTAAACTCTGCAAGATGGAAAATTTACAAATTCAATTCCTCTTACAAAATTATATTTGGTTTGTATTCTACAGGCTGTACCATAGTATATTATAATAAGCCTGCTCTACAGCCATCTATGGTTCCTTAAATCAAAATAAAATGTTAGATACAGTTTTGGAAAAACAGGTGTGGCTAAAAAAACAGGTAACCTTATGGTGTACTGTGAGGAGAGCTGAAAATGGTTTAATAAAAACACCAAAATTATTTTATATTCCATAGCCTAAACACTTCTGTTACTATTGATGTGATAATAGTGACAGTAGTAAGACATTTTATTTAGAGTTATCAGAAGCAATATACAAGTACAGTGTTTGCAAAGGTAAGAGTGAGATTTCTGCAAGCTTTCTTCTTTTTCTGAAATGCTCTATGAATGTTGAATCATGTCTTCGAATAGCTTGGTCTAGGACAGTTGAAATTGGGAGGTAGTTAGATCTTTGAATTTTTAGTAAAATAACAAAACAAATAATATGTATGCAGTGTTGTAGCTGTGTTGGTCCCAGAACTGTGGAGAGACAAGGTGGGTGAGGTGTGGTATCTTTTATTGGACCAATTTCTGTTGGTGAGAGAGACAACCTTTTTGAGCTTACACAGACGAGCTTGAAGAGCTCTGTGTAAGCTTAAAAGCTTGGCTCTCTCACAAACAGAAGTTGGTTCAATAAAAGATATTACCTTACCCACCTCCTCTCTAAAATAAATAATACCTCTACTTCCTTGGAGAAACCAAAATAGAAAGTAGCTTTGGAGCTCCTTTGGAATGGTAAATTATTAGAACATCTGAGCAACTACAATCTTCACTTGCATGATGCAGTGTGCAGCCAATACATGCTCACCATGTAGTTTAATTTTCTTTTATTGGCTGGATCCCTGCCCATCCCATATCCAAACCAGACCATATTGTTTTTGGGAGATGCATACTTGTTCTCCATTTTCAAACCTCTTAGAATAAAGATTGAGTGTCATTTATCTTAAAATGAAACAAGAATTTGCTTGGAATGTAAACCAGTGGATTGTAATAAGGTATGATTATGAAAACATATACAAAGCAGTTCCTATATTCCTTGTGGTGGCTAAACTTCATGGGTGAAATATCAGGTCTGCTCTTTTATAGCAACTGAATCTAGAACAACTGTCCAAGGGCCATCTTGTTTTATATTAGTTCTTTTTTGGTTTAGTTCTTCCTTGATAGCAGAAACTCCCTTACTGTACAGCTCCTCTTGGAGCATAGTTGCTCCTTCATACATCTTGCAGATTGAGGGGGCAGGGAGGGGATGACACCAGGCAAGGGCCCCATGGCCTTTTGAAATTCACAAGGATGGATAGCAGCCTAACCATCCTCCACTTCAGAGGGCAGACAGGATGAGGACATGTTCCCATTCCTACGGCTGCTAAATTGAGAGTAGGGTCATAAGTGCCTGATAATTCCAAGACAGTAGCTGGGGAACCCCTAAAAGTTACAGTGCTGTAGTATCCTTGAAACCCGTAGTATGGAACCCAGCGGGGTTTCATGAATTTGAGAGCTAGGAATTATGGAGCATTAATTCTCCTGCTTTCACTTTAGTAGTGCTGGCAGTAAGGCTGTGGGTGTGTTTGTGATTTCACTCAGTGGTGAAGGGTGTGACCGCTCTCTAACCTTATTGGTTGGAGAGCAGAAGCCTTTAACTAGCACCTCTTTTAAGATGCAGGATGGAGGGAATCACTACCAAGTGCCCTAAAGTCCTTAAGAAAAAGAGACCATCTTTGGAGCAGGAAGGATCAGGCCACCAATTACCCCATAGAAAACATCTGTTACCTTTGGAGGAGTCATGGGGAAAGAGGATGGTTGGATGGGGCTGGGATAGGTGACCTATAGCTGTGTGATGGGCTTTACCCTATGTCAGCGAACTGTACATGGCCCAGATCTTATCTTCCCAGATTGCACTAGAACCCAGATCCACTCTGTTCTTGGGGATGTTATGAAGACGTAACTCTGCTACATGTATATACAATTAAAAACAAACAACATAACCTACAATACATGTAACACAGCAGTGCCAATTCTTCCCCATGTTCATTTGCTTGTATGTTGTAGCCACATTCCCCACCTTTCATCCATGTCTAGATTTTAAGCCTTTCAGGGCAGTGATTCTTTTTTCCACGTAAGTACTACTAATAATATATCACACATGACTCTAACCTAAGCTGCTGCTCTCCTTCCCCTCCACTGAAGGGAATGAGGATACTGAACCTTCGATAGTTTCAGACTTTGACATATTTCTTAGACTGTTTAAGCTTGTTAGCCTCTCTTTCTTCCCCCTTAAATTGGGGGAGGGGGAAGAGAGCTGCAGTTCAAACTACAGCCTCTTGTGATATCAATATTCAGGAGCTCCAAAGATCTTGACAAGCTTCTCCAGCAACAGTAGGAAGTTAAGGTCTGAGATTTCTAGTATGAAAAACTAGTAGAAAAACATTTTAAAAATGTTTGAAGCCATCTTTATTTATAAAGCTCCCATCTAGTTTCCCATCACCATAGTGTTGAAGCATGTCCCAGGTATTTATGGATTTATCCTGCCAACCTCCCTGTGCAGTAGGGAAATAGTACACATTTACAGGTGGGAAATTGAGGCATAGTGAGAGCAGTTGACTTTTCCAAGGGGACACAGGAGGTCTGTAGGTACAGCTACATTGCACACTCCTTTTGTGGAGTACATACACTACATTCCCCCCAACATGGGTACAAATAACAGTGTATGTAGGGTGTGAGGCACTGCTTAGGTGAGTAAAGACATGCCTGATCCCTGCGCTCTCTACTCCCCCAAGCAGTGCCTTCCCCATCTACACTGCTATTTTTAACCCAGTTTAACCTCTTGGAAAGGTCAGAATCTATAAAAGAGCTTTGGTGTTTATCAGTTTTAGTAGAAAGTGTTTATATACTAACCTCGTCTTGTAGCAGAGTTTTACTGTACTCTAGATGATGTCTTTCTAAAATGGAAGATCCATGAAGTTTTGCTAATGGAGAAGCTGACCTGTTGAAAAACAAGTAATTGTTGACAATGTTTCACAGTACATATTTTTATGACTGTTTTAATTAGTCATAAAACATGTAGTATTAATGTTCTATCGAGCTGCATATTCCACAGAAAGAGTTTGAAATGGTTTAACATTGCTTGACTAACCTAGTTTTGTGGCATGACACAGAATAATACCTGCTTAAAAATGACACAATATGTATATGCCTTCAGCACTGTCATTGAGAAAAGATTAAGGGAGAGAGTTTCAAAAACACAAGGAGCAGTTAGGTGCATAACTCCCATTTGTGCCTTTGAAAATTTACCCCATTTTGTCCTGTGTGTTAGTAGTTCTTGTTTCTTTAATCAATGCACCTTCCATGTGTAGAAACGTACCTATTATTCAGCTGTTTGTATTTATTGCTTTGGTAGGCTCTTGACCTCTCTTCTGGTTGTATCATTCAAAGTGGACCGCCGTGCCACTGCATTTCTAATTTATTATGGTTTGCTTAAATCGAATGAAACTACCATGTTGACTGTGCAATGCTATTTCCTTTCCTTTCCTTGGGCTCTATCCCGCAGAAAGTACTTACAGCTTTATGGACTACGCAGTCCGTGGAAGTTCATACATCTTCAGCCTGTCACAGAAACCCTTCTTCTTATCTCATGCTGAGTGTTAAGCAGAAGTAATTCCAGCTCTACACTAGAGTTCTGGGCAGTGAGGGAGAGGGTCATGTCCATGTTTTATTCTAGTTGTTTTGAATATGGGCCATGCTTGGCTTTTCTTTTTCTTTTCTTTGGCTAACAGGTCAATTTCTGGGGTGAACCAAGGAGGAATGTGCATGCCATTCATTAATCTGTACATGTGTGGTGGTAAAGCCCAATAGATTGCTCACCCTGGCTGACCTCATGAATGGACCTTTCAGTCAGGGAGGACCCTGGTAGGAAGATCTGGCCTCACCCCTTTTAAAGTTCTTTGGTTGAGTGATGCTCAGTAAGAATCAGTCTGTCTCTCTCCTGTATCATCTGGAGAATCCCTGACAATAATCAGAAAATGCCATTGCCACGGAGTACAACTTGAAAATTCCTTCATGGGAGAGGATGAGGGGTGTTACCTAATAAGTCATTCTGCATTACTGGCAAGATATTCTCCTAAAGATCATGATTATTATGTTCCCTAGCTACTGGGGACTGAGAGCCTATGGAGTTTTTGTTGGCTAGCAAATGCACAGAAGCAAGTGATTACAATGTACAGTATATATCATGAGAAAGAATGCATGAAAGATTAATTGACCTACAGATGAAAAGTGGTACCCTAGTTGTGCACAATGATGTAAAAAGCAGAAAAAAATAAAATTAAGTCTGTATCACTGCAAACATTTACTAGGGAAAAGGAAACCCATCTACTCCCCACATCATTTACAATATCTTATACACCGAGCTAGTACAGCCAGATCCTTACTGATGTAAACTGCAATAGCTCCACTGCAGTCAGCAGCACTACACCTATTTACATCAACTGTGGAGCTGACTCTCTCTATTCTTTTTTTAAAATCAGGGTAGAGAGCATAAGAATGGTCTGTCTGATCACATTCCTAAAAGGACACACAGGATTTTATCTTATCTTCAAAACTAATATGTTGCAAACTGAGCTTTAGAATAATCTCTTGAAATAAGTCTGAAATCTATTTCCTTACAAAATTGTTTTTCTGTATCACACTAGTTTTCTGTACAGTTGCTTATGAGTAGTGGGCTGGTAGCAATAGCTTAAGGGGACTTGACACAAAATATTACAAGGACGTGGCAAACTTTGTACAAGTAAATAAGTAGGTCAGGCTTTGTTATTGCATTCCAGCCATGATAATGTCCTTATGAATTTGCTCCCACACACCTACATTGCCATTAAATCTTGCCACTTCTTTCTCTAACATTTTGAAAATCCTATTTTATCTCTCCATCCTGACAATTACAACACCATAGACCAGTGTTTTAATCTCCCATCTTAACTACCAGATCTTCCCCCAATTTGGCCTCCCTATAGTCAAAATTACTACTTTGTCAACTGATCATATGTCACAGCCCTCTCTGCGTTGTTCCATTGAATTTGCCATATACAGAGTATCCAGCTAAAACTTCTAGGATAAGAACTTGAAGCATAGTGGAGGGGGAAGCTAAGGTGGCTTTAAACCAACTTTGCACCCTCCCAAACCTGGGCTGCTCTGCATAGCTTAGAGTATGTCTACACTGCTGTTGAAGGTGTGATTTGCAGCTCATGTAGGCATACTGTGCTATCTTTAATCTAGCTAGCTAGTGTGGGTAAAAATATGGCAGTGTGGACCCTGGTGTGGGCTAGGAATGTTAGTAGTTTGGGGTAGCTTTTACAGCTTGTGCTAAAGCCTGCATGAAAACCTGTACAGCCACATACTCACTGCTATTTTAGCCACTGTAGCTAGATTAAAGGTGGCTTGGGTATGTGTACAAGAGCTGTAATCACACACCTGATGGCAGTACGGGTCTTTTACGGTATGTCCACACTGCAGCTGGGAACATGCCTTCCAGTCGAGGTGGACAGACAAGCGCTAACTCTGCTTGAGCTAGCACGCTAAAAATAGCAGTGTGGACATTGTAGCACAAGTGCTGGCTTGAGCAAGCCACCCAAGTCCATGCCAACATGAGCTCAAGCCACTGTCCATGCCAGGATGTCCACAATGACCAAGAAGTGGAAAAGCATCTTCACCCACCGCCTAGCCAACCTAGTAAGGAGGGCTTTCAACTAGGTTCAAAGGGGGCAGGTGACAAAAGCCCACAGGTATAAAAAAAAGTGACCTTAACAGAAGGCTAAATGTTCAGTGGGGAAGGGGGAGGAGACAGAAAATTACAATAGAGTCCATAGGAGCAACAAGAGTGATAACTGGGTGGGGATGGGGAGTCTGCTTGACATTTTAGATGTCTGTTCACAAATGCAAGGATTATGGGGAATAAACAGGAAGAACTGGAAGTATTAGTACATATGCTAAAGTATGAATTAATTGGCAGCACAGAGACTTGATGGGATAAATCTCATAACTGAACTATTGATATAGAGGAGTACAGCTTGTTCAGGAAGGACAAGGGAGGCGGTGTTGCATTATACATCTCAGAATAAGTGTATATATTCTTGGTCCAGAAGGAGATGAGAGGCAGACCAATTGAAAGTCTCTGGGTGAATATGAAAGGAGGGAAAAGTCATGGTAGAGGGACTATTATAGCCCACCAAATAAGCAAGAAGAGGTAGATGAGGCATTTCTAGAATAAATAATAAATATCCAAGACCTGGTAGTAGTGGGGGACTCCCCAGACATCTGTTGGAAAAGTAATATGGCAAAACACAAATTGCCTAATAAGTTCTTGAAATGTGTTGGGGACAACTTTTTGTTTCAGAAGGTGGAGGAAGAAACCAGGGGGCAGTTATTTTAGACTTGATTCTGACCAACAGGAAGGAATTGGTAGTGAATTTGAAGGTGAGAGGCAACTCAATTCAAAGTGATCATGAAATGATAGATTTCCTGGTTCTAAGGACAGGAAGGAGTGAGGGTAGCAGAATAAAGACAATGAATTTCAGAAATGCAGACTTAAGCTCAAAGAAAAGGTAGGTAAGATCCCATGGGAAGAAAATCAAAGGGAAAAAGGAGTTCAGGAGATCTGGCAGTTTCTCCAAGAGGCAATATTAAAGGTGCAACACCAAAAACAATCCTGATATGAAGGAGAGATAGGGAGAATAATAAGAGGCAACTATGGCTCCAGCTGAAACTATGGCTCCAGCTGAAAATCTTTTTAGCTGAAAATCAGAAAGGAAGTCTAGAAAAAGTGGAAATACAGACCAACTGCTAAGGATGAGTACAAAAGAATAGCACAAGCAATTAGGCACAAAAATGGAAAGGCTAAGGCACAAAATGAGTTACACCAAGCAAGGGACATAAAGGCAATTAGAGAAGTTTTTATAAATATATTAGAAGCAAGAGAAAGAGGAAGGAAAGTGTAGGTCCTCTACTTAGTGGGGAAGGAGACCCAATAAAGAACAACATCAAGAGGGCTGATATGTTTAATGCCTATTTTGCTTCAGTCTTCATTAAAAAGGTAAATTGTGGCCACATCCATAACATAATTAATGTTAACAACAAGGGGAAGGAATGCAAGACAAAATAGGGAAAGAACAGCTTAAAGAATATTTAGATAACTTAGATGTATTCAAGTTGGCAGGGTCTGATGAAATTCATCCTAAGGTACGTAAAGAGAAACTAGCTGAAGCAATCTTGTAATCATTAGTGATTATTTTTGAAAACTAATTGAAGATGGCTGAGGTCCCAAAAGACTAGAGAAAAATACTGTGTTTGCCCACCTTGAAAAAGAGGAACATAGAGGATTCAGAAAATTATAGAAAAGCAAGCTAACTTCGATACCTGGAACAAATTATTAAACAATTATTTTGTAAGCACCTAGAGGAAAATGGTTATAAGTAATAGCCACCATGGTTTTGTTAAAAAGAAATCATGCCAAACCAACCTCATTTCCTTCTTTGACGGAGTTCCTGGCCATGGAGATGGGGAGAAGCAGTAGATGTGCTATATTTTGATTTTAGTAAGGCTTTTGACATAGTCCCACGTGACATTCTCATAAGTACACTAGGAAAATGTGGTCTAAATAAAATTACTATAAAGTGGGTGCAAAACTGGTTGAAAATCTGTACTCAAAGACTAGTTCATGGTCAAACTGTGACCCACAGGGGTCAGTCCTGAGTCTGATACTGTTCAATATTTTCATTAATGACTTGGATAATGGAGTGGAGAATGTGCTTATAAAATTTGCAAATGAAACCAAGCTGGGAGGAGTTGCAAGTACTTTGGAGGACAGGATTAGTTCAAAACTATCTTGATAAATTAGAGAACTGGTCTGAAATTAGACCAATCAGATGAAATTCAATAAAAAACTTTACAAAGTACTTCACTTATGAAGGAAAAATGTACAACTATAAAATGTGGAATAAATGACTAGGTGGTAGTACTGCTGAAAAGGATCTGGGGGTTATAGTGGATCACAAATTGAATGAATAAACAATGTGATACAGTTGCAAAAAAAAAAAAAAAGCTAATATTCTGGGGGTCTATTAACAGAAGTGTTATGTATAAGACACAGGAGCTAATCGTCCTGCTCTACTTGGTCCTGGTGAGGCCTCAACTGGAGTACTGTATTCTTGGCTTCACACTTTAAGAAAGATGTGGACAAATTGGAGAGAGTCCAGAGGAGAGCAACAAAAAGGATAAATCGTTTAGAAACTTTGACCTATGAGGAAAGGTTAAAACTGGGCATATTTAGTCTTGAAAAAAGAATTCTGAGAGGGGACCTGATAAACAATTTTCAAATATGTTAAAGGCTGTTATAAAGAGGACTGTGATGAATTCTCCACGTTCACTAAAGGTAGGACAAGAAGAAATGGGCTTAATCTGCAGCAAGGGAAATTTAAATTAGATATAAGGGTAATTAATCTCTGGTATAGGCTTCCAAGGGAGGTTGTTGAATCCCAGTTCTTGGAGGCTTTTAGTAACAGGTTAGACAAACAGCTGTCAGAGATGGTCTAGATATACTTGGTCCTGTCTCAGTGTGGGAGCTGGATTGGACCTCTTGAGTTCTCTTTCAGCACTACACTTTCACGATTTTTAGCATGCTAGCTTGAGCTAAGCTGGTGCAAGTCTGTCTACCCAGGCTGGGAGGCACCCTTTGGCTCTTTCACTCAGCATAAAGGAGCCAGAATGGGGGTGAGGATCTTGCACCTGGGACTTGATCCTGCTGTACTGAAGTCAGCAGGAGTGTAGCCACTGACTTCAGAGGGAGGGGGATTCACCTCCTTCATCTTCTTGGCCAGGGGTAGTCAATAGGTGGACTGTGGGCCAAATCTGAACTGCCAGATGCCAGACCCCAAATCTTTTTATTTACTTATTATTATTATTATTATTATTCTTATTCTTTTTTATTATTTTCTCTGGAGTCTGTACCTTGACCAAGAAATTTGGACCTTGACAAAAAATAACTGACTGCTCCTGTTCTAGGCTCTACACAACTTCACCCTGGCCTACATCTTAAATCTTGTCTCCTAATGTGCTCCCTCTCACCAGCTTCACTCTGCCAACAGTGTTAGCTCCAATACCCATTCCATTTCCTTCTCCCATTCCTATTTTCACACCTTCAATATGGCCCCTTTTGAAAGGCACCCCTCAGAATCCAAGCATAAAAGTGGGTCACCCTCTCTTTAAGACAAATTAGGAAAAACATTAGCTAAGAGGACTCCTTCCTCCGGCTCTCCCAAAGTGTCTTGTCTTGGTGTTTTCATATAGGTTATAAATACTCTGGGTCAGACTCTCTTGATAGATGTGCTTTGCAGAGCAGTGAACACACAGTGCATGCTTTGCAAATAATTATGGAAAATAGTATAGTTTGTATCTTTGCATGTGGTGATATGTTCACATCTTTCTTTTAGTTACTGGTACAAATGTTATATGTACAGGTGTTTGTACGTATAAATCAGTGTAGCTGAACTTACTTCATTTGATACAAATTATTGGTCCCTCTGTGATCAATGTCATGGCAGAAAGCAGCTGCAACCATGGCGAAGGCTTCTAGATCGGTATAGTATTTCTTTAGTCTACCTGTCTATAAAGGAGAAGAGACTTTTTTGAGTGTATACCTGCTTGAATTTTACAATTCCTGTTGAAATTAAAAGAACTACAAATTGAATGAAAGATAGGTTTACAGTGACAAAACATACCATTAGTAAGGTGAACATTGTCTGTCCCACGTTGAATCCATGCCGCCAGTTATGGTAAGTTATATCCCGATAACCCTTTCTGACTGTGTACATCCATCTTGTAAGTACCTGTTACAAATAAAAGGCATATCATACTCAGTAGTGTTAAAATATAACAAAGTCCTGGAATGTCTTTAAAATTAAGATGGAATTTCATATCTTTACAGGAAAATATGCAGCTTTTACAAAGCTGAAACATTGTTTCTAATTAAAATAAACATAGAAGCTAACCACTGTTATATAAGTCAATGCTAGTTTAATTTTTTATCTAACTAAGCACACAACAATTTACCACCTAGCTTTACATGCTTAATATGAATCTGTGAAAAATATCTACTCAGAACAGGGGAAAAGTAAAAGATATTGAATGTTTTATATATAAAAACCTAAGAACGAATGTATGCTACTGTTGCTTCTAATATTTTACTCTGGGACAGTTCTAGTTAAAAGAACTTGGAACTGAGGGGTAAAATGTACCTAATATGACAAAATAAATCTGACCTCTGCTGGGACTTTGAACTTTTCAACCACATTTATCTCAAAGAATAATCGTATTCCGCACTTAATCAAGCCATGCTCTGTAACGGGAAAGTCACTGAAGCGGAATTCATAAAGTTCCACTTCCTTTGGATCAGGTAATTCCTCTCTCTGTTAGGAAAAAAAAAGACCACAATAGTTTCGCTTTGTAAGAAGGAAACTAAAGAAAATTCAGTTTTTTACTTGCTTTTTTACTCTATCCCTATATAAAGAGTTCATGGTCAGGCCCATCATGTGTACATAGCTCTCAGGTTTCAATACACACTACTGTATATTAAACTATAATATGTACTTTAGATCACTGCTGTTTTTCTGCTCAAACAAAGGGGATGGGTACCATTTATTGCTTCCTGCAAACTGGTATTTCTTCCCCACCTGCATTCCAACAAAATCCACATTACAATTATAGTTTCTTTAGTCATATTTTGGGTAAAACCAATGGTTACTTTATTTTAGAATGCATTTCTTAATTATGCATATAATTATTGTACTTCAGATTATTATTATTGTATTACATACCTCACCTGTGGGACTTCAGTGAATCTTTGGGATAGATTATCAACTGTTACCCTATAAATCATGGGTGCAACTGAGGGTGGGGAGGGGTCTGTCATAGTTCAGGGCTACCTGGACCTCTGACCCCATTCCTTGGTGTCTTCTGAGTGCACCTGCCTCTAGGTCTTAGGCCTCCCACTTTTCCTCTATGGCAGAATCCCATGATTCTCCCACCAACAAAGATTACTCAACAAGTCTGACTGGACTCAATATCTGCAGTGCTTCCCTTCAGGAACTTGTGACCAGAGTGACCCAAAACAGCCTTCTTAAAACTATATTGTTGAATCTTAACAGTAGGAATACAGCATAGTAAGAGAAAAGCATTTTTAGGGCAAAAAAGGCCTATGTGCATGTTTATCTTACCTAAAGACTTGCCTTCCCTTAGCAGAGACCCTAGTTGGGCTAAGCTACCTTGAGACACGCCCAACCTCTGGAAGGCAGTTTCTTCCCCTTAAGCATCTCACAAAACCAGTCCTTCTCCCCTTCAGAGAGTGTCCCTATAAATCCCTCTCAGCCTTTGATCTCCCCACCTTCACAGATTGGGTGACTTAGTCCTGGGAAAGCTGGTCTGGCAAGCTCACCAGGGAGGCGGAGGTAGCATATCAGTTAATAATACTAGGTGTTTTCTGAGGAACTCTTATCTGGGCTACTGCCTATCTTCCTGGGTAGTTTTCTTACCATCTGGCTAAAGTACAGTAAATATATTAACAGTGCTCAGACAAACATAGAAGGGATGGTATTTTGTAGATTACAGGAAACTCCAAATCCATCACAGTCATTTGCCCCTCCCTCCCTACCTGTGGATGGTCCTGTGCCAGTTGTGTCCCTAGTGTAGTTTAGAGCAAACTCTGCTCTAAACTACACTGGCTTCCAATGGCGCCAAGGGACAATTCTGGCAGCAGGGGACTGCCTGAGTGCATGCTCTTTCCCCTCATGAATACCCTTTATTTTAGAGGCAAGTGTAGCTACCCTCAGAAATGTCCACTACCCTATCTGCTTGGTTTAAGACTGCTTTGCACTGAGGGACCACCAACAAAACAGACTTAATGTGTATGAAGATCTCTAGCCTTTAGAGTTATTCGCATAAAAGAGCTCTATTTTTACTTATGACTCGCTTTATTTATATTAATTGCCCTCATGCACATACAAATAACACACAAAGGGTATTTACTCATGATGCTCAAACGTCAGAAAATGCATAAATTAAGGCTCTTGTAGTAACTTTAATTTGCCCACGTTATACGTATAGTATAAATATATATTTAATAGACTAACTGGTGGTGGTAATAATTATAAGTACCTAGATCATAGATAGCGTTTTTCAGTAGTACATCTCAAAGCCCTTTACAAAGGAAGTCAGTGAACTGTCAGATTCCATTTTACAGATGGGGAAACTGGTAACTGAATATATTACAAGTGTAATGTGTGCAACATTAGGATGAGAACTATAATTTGGATTTCTCTTTAAAAGAGAACCTTTATTGTGTATTGATGCTATAACTTTATATTTAATGTCTTTGTTTAAAAAAACAAAAAAGAAACTGCACATGCAAGTTAGAATACCCACTTCATTGAAATGAATGGGATGTGGAACAGTGATGTCACACCTTTGCAATTGTTGCTGTTTGGTTGGAGATATTTGCTGCAAATATTGATTATTGTACATGCAAATATATTTCTGCCTTTTCTCCCAAATGTGGAATTTCCCTTTAAATTTACTCTGGTCTGAGTTCAAGAAGAGAGAATGGTCGATCCTGGAGCAGTGACAGTTTTAAGGCCCAATGCTTTGTGAGCCTTCAGGTCTAGAAACACCTGCTTTATCGCATTAGTGACCTGACACTCCAGGCTTCCTATAGGATTAAACATTTCTGTGTAGCCCTGGCACTGCATGAGATATCAGACCTTCAGTTCTTGATACCCTGATGTATAGAAAAAGCTATTTAATTTAGTTTCTAGAGGTTTTAAAAATCCATTCCAGTGTTTTATTTCACTTGGATGCCCCCACAGGGTAATTAAGGCACCTTGATTTACAAGTGGAGAGATCTAAAAATGTATTATTGCTATTAATTTTTGTAAGTCTTAAATTTAAAATGAATTTACTTTAAAATGTGAAGGTATAATTTTCTATTGATACTTTTCATTTCACTAGTGGATGTGCTTATATAATCAGATGTAATTTAACAAGATCTTTTAACTGTAAAAACCGTGTACAGTCCTAAACCTGATATCTGCAATGTTTTTAGAGGAAGGAGGAAGTAGGGGAAAGAGAGCTCATTTTACTAATAATTATCTATAACTTTAACCATAAATTCCTGCTACATAGCAAAGTAAATAAAAACCAGTTAGCTAAAGTTTTTCAAATACCTAACAAATTATAGAAACACATCAGGTGCTACTGCTGTTATTAACCCCCTTCATACCCTATACATTCACTTCTTATTCTGGTGCCCTGCCAATTTCCTCTTCCTTCTATGTATGTTGTACTAATATACACACAACTATACCTTTCAATTGAGTTTTTGCCATTCTTATATATAGTAGGTTCCCATATAAAACTCAGTAATATTCATTCATGCAGACTGAATGACGAATGAGCAGAGTCAATCCAATTAATCATAAAATAAAATGAAAAAAATAAAATTAAAATTATTAAGAAAAACAAATAGCAAATAGCATTTTAAGGAGGCAGCTATAACTCCTTCAGCCTGCAATAGTAACTAGGATAGTCCCTTTTTATCTCTTTGGGAAATAACACCTTGAGCCTGCAAATATTTAAGAATGTAAGTAATTTTTCAACTACTCATGTGAGTGACATTAAATATGTGCCTAAATGTTTGGAAGATAGGCCCTAAGTCAGCAGACTGTGTATGATAGTGTATGTTAGCAATATATCTGTCCAGATAGCAAAAACACATTCAATGTGTGACAGACCCAGACCAGTGGGGTACAGGAGTCTGGTAGAGGGCAAATATACTGGTCACTGGATGAGTAGTTTTCTGTTCCCTGAATGACCAGAGCAGGGGCTGCACTAGAGTAATCAGGAACCTGCTAGAACCAGTTAAGGCAGGCAGGCTAATTAGGACACCTGGAGCCAATTAAGAAGAAGCTGCTAGAATCAATTAAGGCAGGCTAATCAGGGCACCTGGGTTTTAAAAGGAGCTCACTTCAGTTTGTGGTGGGAGTGTGAGGAGCTGGGAGCAAGAGGCGCAAGGAGCTGAGAGTGAGCTGCTGGAGGACTGAGGAGCACAAGCGTTATCAGACACCTGTGGTGAGAATAAGGAAGGTGTTTGGAGGAGGCCATGGGGAAGTAGCCCAGGGAGTTGTAGCTGTCATGCAGCTGTTACAGGAGGCACTATAGACAGCTGCAGTCCACAGGGCCCTGGGCTGGAACCCGGAGTAGAGGGCGGGCCCGGGTTCCCCCCAAACCTCCCAATTGACCTGGACTGTGGGTTCTTCCAGAGGGGAAGGTCTCTGGGCTGTTCCCCAACCCACATGGTGAATCTCTGAGGCAAGAAAATCTGCCAATAAGCGCAGAACCCACCAAGATAGAGGAGGAACTTTGTCACACTGGTGTCAGGAGTGGGATCTTGGGGTGCACAGCGCGGCGGAAGAAGGAGGGTGATTTAAACAAAAAAAACAAAAACAAAAAAAGGAGAGGGTTTATTTTTTTTCCACCACAATGGATGACGTAGTGCGGGCACTGATACAAGCTACGGCGGCCCAGCAGGAGGCTACGCTATTGTCCAGGCAGCCGCCCAACAGGAGGCAGTGCGGCTGCAGCAAGAGACTAATCGCCTGCTGATGGACCAGGCTGCTCAAGACCGAGCTATGTTGCGGGAACTGGTAAACCAGGTAAAGTCCCTTACAGAGCTGAATCGCGGCCATGATGGGACGCGGCTCATACGGGCCAGCCATTGGCTGCAGAAAATGACAAGGGAGGATGATGTAGAGGCATACCTTCTGGCCTTTGAGAGGACAGCCCTACGGGAGGCCTGGCCTCGAGATCAGTGGTCTGGCATCCTTGCCCCATTCCTGTGTGGGGAGGCCCAGAAGACCTACCATGATCTGCCTGAAGAGGCTGCGGCAGACTACCCCCAGCTGAAAGCAGAAATCCTGGCCAGATCTGGGGTAACGACAGCAGTGCGGGCCCAGCAGTATCACGGTTGGAAGTACCAGGAAGACAAAACCCCGCGGTCCCAATTGTATGACCTCATCCATCTCGCACGAAAGTGGTTGCAAACAGAGTCCCGGAGTCCGGAAGAGATACTAGCAGTTCTGGTCATCGACCGATACATGAGGGGACTACCACCAGACCTTCATGCCTGGGTAAGCCAGAACGAACCCTCCACCTATGACGAGGTTGTCGCCCTGGTAGAGAGGCGAAGGACAGCGAGGGAGCTGACCCAACCAGTTAAGGAAGAGGCACCCCAGGTTAAACTAGCAGCACCAACCCCTAAAGTTCGGGTGACTGGGCCACCAGGAGGGCCCAGGTGGAAAAAGAGAGAGGCTGAAGGCCCATCAGAGGCCACAAAGAGTCGGAGCACTGAGGGAGAAGA